ACCATGCCTTTGACTGTTCTCTTGGTTAGTTACATCACATGAGGATTTTCCTGGATATGGACATGAGCACCATCTCCTTTTGCAATATGAGTGATAGATCTCATACCTTTACGTTCAGTAACATTTCTGCTGCAGAGCCTCTGCATCCAATTTTTGCCCCCTGATAATGTGATAAATGAGGATCAAGGCTATCTGAATGTCCTGTGTTCCAGGCATTGTCTATCATCCAATTTATCCTGAGCATGCAGAATAAACCTTTGACTAAAAACAAAAGCATTTAGAGAAAATAACTGTGTGCTCACTGCTGGGAGAATGGGGACTGAAGACCCCAAAGGGGCAAAGGAACACACCCCCAGAAAAAGAGGAAAATTAAGAAGTTGAGTGTGTCAGAACAAAGAAAAGTCAGCTAGTATACGTTTAAGCTAGCCATTGCTAGCAAGCTTCTTGCCTTTTCTGAAATTCTAGCCTGTTGGGGATACAGCTTACAAACACCCTGCCCAGTCTATGAGCACTCTGAGGAGAGTAATGGGCATAGAAGAGATTATGGCAAGTCCTAGAAAAGATTTATCTTCCAGGGCATTTCCTGCCCATTAAACAGACAAAGCAGATACCCATTGTGGAGATTTGCATTTGCCTGGGGGAGACACTAAGGGAGTAGCTTGAGCTCTGAGATATGGGCCGAAGAGCTTATATCCTTTATCACAGGAAAATCCTGTGGTGGTGATGGGAGGAAAATGCCTCACTCCCACATATCCTTCAGAGAGTAACTCCAGTGGCATTTTACTCCACAGAGATCTAGCAGAGTTTAACACCTCCTTAGAAATCTGTGTGTGTGACCTCAAGCAGGAGGCTCTCCCAATACAAGACTCAAGATTTCAGATTTCTGAAGGCTACCCCTAAGATTAATAATAATAGGAGCCAATATGATCAGTCTGAGAAACTGCTGATACCTTTGTTCCCTCCCTCATCTTTACCCTCTGGGCAAATAGATTTCAATAAAATCAGAGTGCAGCAAACACTCTGGGCCATTGCCTAAATACCACGACACTCCTAACTTTATATTTCTTCAGTCGACTTCTGCCAGTTTCCACAGGTCTCAGGGGATGCTGCTTTTGGGGCAGGACCCTGACACTCACAACCATAGTTTAAAACTTTTTCTGTTTGGGAGAGACAAAAGTCTCATGTTCTCATGTGGGAGCTAAAAAACGTGACCTCATTCTGTAATGAACAGAATGATGGTTACCAGTGGCTGGAAAAGGTGGTGGGGAGGGAGAGATTAAGAGGGGATGGTTAATGGGTACAAACCTACAGTTAGATGGGAGTAAGATCCAGTGCTCCATAGACAATGGGGTGACAACAGTTTACAACAATTTGTCCTATGTTGCAACATATCTAGAAGAATAAATCTGGAATGTTCCCAACACAAAGGATAAATGTTTCAGGTGATGGTATATCCCAATTATCCAGATTTGATCATTATACCATTGTATGCTTGTATCAAAATATCACTAGGATTTCAAACTAATACAGCCTCTTTGGAAAGAAGTATGGAAAATCCTCAAAGAACTCAAATTAGACCTTTCATTTGATACCATTACTAGGCATCTACTCAGAAGAAAAAAATCATTTTATCATAAGGACATTTGCACTAGATTGTTTATTTATGATTTACAATTGACAAGACATGGAAACAACTTAAATACACATCAACCCAGGAATGGATTAACAAACTGTGGTACATGTGTAGCATGGAATACTATTCAGCCATAAAAAAGATGGAGACCTTATATCTTTTTTATTCACCTGTAGGAAGTTGAAACACATTCTTCTTAGTAAAGTATCACAAGAATGGAAAAGCAAGTATTCATGGTACTCAATACCAATATGAAGCCAGTAGATGAACTAATACACGCCACACAAGAGAAAAACTCAATTCAAGTTGGAGGAGGAAGAACTAGGGAGGGGGAGAGGAGAGGAGGGAGGGGAATGGGTGTGCTCCCACACTTAATGGGCACAATGTAAAGGTATACGGCACACCTCCTGGGGGCGGGACACAACTAGAAGAGGGATTCTACCTAACAAATGTCAACTTTGTAAAGAACTTTTCTGCTTGGTATATGTATATATATATATATATATGATACAAAGAGATTGCAAAAATACATAGAGCATTTCATGAGCACTAATGAGGAGGAAATTACTTTTCTTCTTTGTTCGAAAGAGTTCGAAAGAGTCTTTCTCTGTCACCCTGAGTAGAGTGCAGTGGCATCATAGCTCACAGCAACCTCATACTCCTGGGTTCAAGTGATCCTCTTGCTTCAGCCTCCTGAGTAGCTGGGACTGCAGGCACCTGCCACCAGGCCTGACTGGTTTTTTATTTTTGTAGAGACAAGTCTCCCTACGTTGCCCATGCTGTTCTCGAACTCTGGCCTCAAGCTGTCTTCCCACCTTGGCCCTGGGACTACAGATAGGAGCCAAGGCACCCAGCCCTACTCTCTTTTAATAAGGACACCAGAAGATTGGATCAGGACCTACCCCAACCACCTCATTTTAATCCACTCTGGAGAGGCCCCTTCTCCAAATACAGTCATGGTCTGAGGTGCTGGGCCCAGGACCTAGAATCTGGGGAGCACACTGTCCAGCCGAAATGGACACCTGCACACTCAGAGCGGGCATCAGCCCGGAGCCGTCCTGGGGAGGGGAGCAGGTGCACAAGAGCTGAGCGGCGAGGAGTGACAGAGACAGACCAGGGTCGTGTGAGAGAGGAGCGCTGCGAGAGGGCTTCAGACAGAGGCAAAGTCTCAGAAGTGCGCTGGACACCCTCTCTACACCTCCTGCGTGTGCCGCCCTTAGGACGCCAGCGAGGAGAGGGGCCCCCGCGAGGTCTCTGGTGCCCCCTACCCGGCCCGCACGCACAGCACTGCGCTGGGAGTCGCCCAGGCCCCGCAGTCCCATGGGACTCCGAGGCACCAGCGGGTGGGTGTGTTGTGCAAGTTCCTGAAAAGCGAGGCTAGAAATCTCCTTTTCACCAGCCGCATCTCCAGCTCTCCGCAGCAGCGAGCTGTATCCCTCCTGTGCGGCACACAGCACTTCCAGCACCTCAAAAGGTGCCACCCGGTGTCCCTCCAGGGGCCATGAATTCTCTGTAAAAAAGGAGGATCTCCGAGTACCTCTCCTGCCCCCCAGGACACATGCACACACGTCCTTTGATGGAGGGGCCCAGAGACGTCCCATCAACCAGAGTCCAGGCTCAGCCCGCGACTCTTCTGGCTGCAGTCCCAGGAACGCCTGGCAGAGAAGCAGACACGCACCTGCGGCTGGGCTGGCCCAGAGCCACCCGCCAGCTTCTGAGGTGAAACAGTTTCACTGAAAAGAACAGAGAAAAGATGGCCTGGACAGAGAAATTTGACCTGCTCATTCACTGTACCTCGAATTACCAGCCAAATAGGGCTTTGGGAGCAGTATTTTAAGGGTCTAACAGGGAGACGCTGTCATTCCTTACTGAGAACTGCTGCACCCAGAACACTATAGAAAATAAGAGGACACACAAGGCTCTGGGCCAAATAATGTGTTTCTTAGATACTAACAACGAAGAAAAATACACAGAAAAAAATTACACTATTTCTAGCCCCCTTTTCATGTGACTCTTAATCTTCCAGGTAATTTTTGTATTTTCTTATCCTTTTTCCACAAATAGGGAAAGAAATAAAAGTCCCTGACTTTTAAATCACTCTAAGAGATATGAAATAATGATAGCAAATGGCTGCTGAGACATGCCTGCAAGGAGGCTGTCACTGTGCCCAGGCTCTCCCTGCCAGGGGAGCCCGCTCCACATTAAGGACAGAGCAGGATGGCATCTCTCCCCCAAGGAAACATTACATCCCCCTGTAGCATCCCACATCCCCAAGACATCACCTCACCCTAGCATATTCAGCCTGGCTGAGTGGAGATATGAAGCCACTGAGTTCCTTCAATCTTGTGCCCACCCTTTCTGGTGTCCCCACCCACCCCACCCCCCAACCCCCACCCCGACACACAACCCTCTACTAACCCCCAGACGCAAGAGTTCAGTCTGCATCACGGAGTAGGGGCAAGAGAGCACCTGGTGTGGACAGGTCAGGACCCACTTCACTGCATTAACAGAACCATAACCTCATGTCACCCCAGGACACTTCTGCATTATGACCATCTGGGAACCCAGGATTGTCTCCAAGGTTCAGGGGCCACACTCTCCCATCCGCATTCTCCAAAGGTGACATAGGTCTGCCCTGTTCACCACGGATTGAGGCACACAAAGATGATCATCAGTGTATCCCCCTCTTAGGGATGTTCCTGGATACCCCAACTGGCCTAGGGGCTCCCCTTGCAGTCCCCCATTGTAGCAAGTGCCCCAGCAATGTGGTTGTCTGTCCCCTCACCCTGAACCTTCCCTAGGCAAAAAAGGCAAGAATGAAGCCTGGCTGACCTCTGGCCACCTGGCTCCCAGGGCCAAGCCCAGCCTGTTGGAGTTACCAAGAAAACAAACCAAGCAATCAAGTCCCAAGCCCAGGTTCTGAAGGAAGGAGACAAAAGGTGGAGGGAAGGCCATCCTGTCTACTGCAGGACCTGGAACTGGCCCACTCAACAGACACCTGGGGACAGCGGCTACACCCCCTCATAGGCTAATGCTAATGCTCCTCAGACATGGCCTGACATAGGGAAGAAGCAACAGGTAGCCACAGTGGTGTGCTCAGCTCAGCCAGCAGTAGCTGACTCCGTTTCCAGGGAGCACTAGATAGACTGCAGAGGCACAGGCAACGGTACTGCGGGCACATGTGCTGCCACTCTAAGCCCCTCCTACCCTCCTGGTAGCCCCACACACACCCAGCTACCCTCTGCCCTGGGAAGTTGGGATGTCACACCTCTGAGAGAGGCACTGGCTCCCAGCTGTCCCCAAGAGGGAAACAGGACTCAAGCCCTGGGCCCAGGGTGAAGGGAATGCTGAGGGACATGCTGAGTTGTGTGTGGAGTCTGGGGCAGCACACCCTTGAGAATTGCCATTTATTCCCAAAGTTGCCAAAATCATCATCAAAGATTCACCAAGGGGTGCATGGGGGGGAGGGATAGAAGGTTCAAACACTGATGAGGAGTCAGGAGTTTAGAGGGAGGGAAATGGGGGAGGGGGCCCAGCCATCCTTCCCCTCCTAATGCCGTGGGAACAGGGTCCTCCAGCCAGCGCCCTTCCCCACCCCATGTCCAGCTTTTCTTTGGGCAGGAGGGGTGGGGGATGTGGGGGAGGTGTAGTGTGAGTGGGCACTGGGAGGGGACTGGGCGGGCCCATGTCACATGCACTCACAGCACTGACCTGAGGGAACAGAAGGGGGCAGTGGGCCGGGCTAGACAGGGCCCCTCCCACCCTGGATTATAGGAGGAAGGGGTTTGTACTGGGGGCCGAGGGGCCCGGGGGCAGCACTGGAGTCAGGCCAGGACCCCCACCAAGAGGAGAGATGTAGGGGGGTGCCCCAGGGCCTGGGGGTGCAGGACTAAGACGGAGCTGGTTCAGGGTGAGCGTCGCAGGGGGGGCAGGCTGGAAGGGGTTGGTGACAGAGGGGCCAGTGGCTGGGGCTCCTGTAGGGAGAGAAAACAGAGACACAGACTATCAGTAAGCTATGTACAGCCAGACTGTGCAGCAGGTGGGGAGGCAAGATGGGCAGGAGGACCCAGGAGCCAACCAGGGGGCCGCACTCACCACTTGGCAGAAAGGGATTGGAGGCCTTGGCTCCCGGTGGCGTAGGGCCCGGCCGGCTCACCAGCGAGTCCAGGTCCACAAGAGCTGCATTGGGCCCCAGGAATGACTCCGGCGTCTTCCGGGTAGGAGGCGTGGGGGTGGGGGTGGCTGCAGGTGGAGGACTTCCCACAGCCTCAGCCAGAGACTCCCCAACCCCACTCATATCAAATGCCCCAGGGCTGTGGGTGGGTACCTCTCCTGCCAGCAGCTCCAGCTCCCCTAGAAGGAGGAGAGGGGCTCAGAGGGGCGGCCTGGTGGGGGTTCCAACAGGTGGGGATCCCCAAAGAGCGCCTGGTGCTAGAGGTCTCAAGGAGGAGGGACTGGGGCACAGAGGGGGAAGCACCTGCCCAAGCCCAGAAGCACTGAATGTTGGAGCCCAGATCCAAAAATAGGTGTGTGACTCTGGTGAAGACACACAGAAGGAATGATGACACCAGGCACAGTGCTTGACTCCAGGTCTCTGACCCAGAGGGGAGGCAGGGCGGGACTATTTACTGGGCACTTCAGGCCTCAAAGGGGCTGTCCTGCAGAAGCTCAGTTAACTACATAGCCCTAAAAAACTAGGTGCAGAAACAATGGTTTGATGACAACTGTTGGCTTAATTATCTTTTTTTTTTTTTAATTCTATCTAATGTTGGGAAAAAATGCACAAACTTGTATGGAGGGGGAAGGACCTGAAACGAAAACTGCAGACTGGACGGTTAATCTCAAATGACCCCAGTGTTGGCAGCGCCCGTAGCTCAGAGGGTAGGGCACTGGCCACATATACTGAGGTTGGTGGGTTCAAACCTGACCCGGCCAGCTAAAACAATGACAACTACAACAACAACAACAAAAAAAAACCTGGTGTTGTGTAGTCCCAGCTACTTAGGAGGCTGAGGCAAGAGAATCCCTTAAGCCCAAGAGTTTGAGGTTGCTGTGAGCTGTGATGCCACAGCACTCTACCAAGGGCGACAAAATGAGACTGTCTCAAAAAAAAAAAAAAATTAATAAAATGACCCCAGTGTGAGGAGATGAAGTGTTGGATCACCACCATCTTCCTCACTCCCCAGCCCCTGCCAAATACATTTCTGCACCACAATTTGTACTTCAATAGAAGTTCCCTTAATTCAAAAAAAAAAAAAAAAAAAAGGGATCAAAGTTGACCTCATACCCATCACCTGCAGGCAAACAGATACCAGCCAAAGCTACTGGGACCCCACAGCACCCACATGGTCTTCTGAGACCTGGAACGCTGTCCAGATGGGTCTCGTCAGATGGTGGGCACTGGCCTGCACCCACTAAGGACAGACCCTGGGTCAAAAGACATAAGGGGTCAGGGAAGAGGTAGACGATAGAGGGCATGAGTCAGGGCCACTTTGCAAATTCCAGTTACATGGCAGTCACCATATGGCTGGCTGGACAGGACAGAGATTGTCCTTGTTCTGGACTTTTCTCCAAGTCTGAAATTATTCCAAAGACACGTTTCTTTTAAAGACAGGTGAGTGGGTCTCACTTATTCTGCCCAACTGTACCTCCACCCTGAGTGCCGGCAGCCCAGCCCAAGGAGGGGCTCACCCGTGCTGCTCCCAGAGGTCGGCAGTGCTGTGCGGAGTCGGTCAAAGTCAGAGAACTCATCAGGCTCTGTGTCAAAGCACCCGACTGCTGCAGGGGAGCAAAGCTGTCTGCTTAGTACCTGCCTAGGGTCTCACCTCTGCCCCCACTTCCAGTTTTCTAGCTCCCTCCCACCAGGCCCCAGGAGACCAACTATTCACACTCACTCACTCACATGGGGCTCTGCCCACCCCACCCTAAGTCCCAAGCCTCCCCCCAGCCAATACCTGAGGTGCCATTAGTGCTAGGCTTGGCAGGTGACCCCCCCCAGGGGTCCGAGAAGGCTGGCGCTGGTGACCAAGGATCGGACGCTGGGGGTCTGCTAACAGGGGCTCCACCTGGGTGAGGAAAAATTTATGACACCTGAGGGGCTAGTGACCTTGACTGCCAAGGCAGTTCATGGCCTGTCACCATTGAATCTAGGGCTAATCACACAAAAGTTGCCCCATGCCTATTCCTTCTCAGCCAGCCTCCCCAGCATGCCTGTGTCCCAGCTATGTATCTGCTTCGACCAGTTCACATGCTCAGAGCCTCTCCTCAACCCCTCACACCCAGCTCCCTGTTATCCCCCTACCAGCCATCCCTGCCCCACTAAGCACCTGGACCCTTTCTGCCTGCCCTGCCCCTCTCCCTCCCACTGCCCACAACCCCAGGCCTCCTCTGGGCCCCTCAGCTCTTCCTTGGGTACCCCCTCACTGCACCCAGAGTGCCCCCCATGCCTGGCACCACTTGGCTATGTATGTCCCTGGCCAAGGGCATCCCTAAGTAGAGGCCAGCTCTAAGCAGGTGGTGGGACTCACCATCAGAGCTTCCCCATGGGTCAGGTGTGGACCCCTCTCCAGCTGCAGGGGCAGGGGTCCCACCCCAAGGGTCAACCGAAGGCCCTGAGGGGGCAGCAGGCCTCCAGGGGTCCCCGGAGGCTGGTGTGGGACCTGGAGCACCCCAGGGGTCAGCAGCTGGAGGGACAGGGGGACCCCCCCAGGGGTCCGAGGTGGGGGCAGCCGAGGGGATGGCAGCAGCCATGGGCGCTGGGCCTCCCCAGGGGTCAGAGGCCGGTGGAGGAGCTGGAGCAGTGAAGACATCAGCAAGATCCATGAGGGATGACTACAAGGTAAAAGACAAGCAGCGTAAGGGGGTGGTGGGACAGCCAGGGCTTGGATGGGCTGAGCTGAGTGCCAGGGCTGAACTAAGCTAAGGCAGTTGGAGGGCAGGAGCCACCCAGGAGGAGAGGTGCAAGGGAGGCAGAGCCATTACAGACACCCATGTGCTCAGTCCTTCCGCCAGGCCTCCAGGTTGACCTGCCCCTCAAGCTGCCCTACCCCAGCACAGGTCACCACTGACGGGGCCCCTTACCCCTCAAACCTGCCCCCAGTCCATCCTCTGCACAGCACAGGGCGGTCCTTCAAACCCACCTGCCCACAATCCTTTCTGTGGCCCTGAGGACAGAGGCCAGGCCCATCCCTGGACCCACACAACCTCTCCCTGCCGTCTCCCAGAACCACCCCCAAGGCCCTCCCTAGGCCACCCCAAGAACACCTTTCCAGTGACCCCCACACTAGGCGACAGCATCAACACCCTGCGTTCTAGGGGTGGAGGTGCCCCCCACATACCCAATCAGCACCCCTGAGGCAAAGGGCCCCAAGGGGAAGAAGAGCCAGGTTGTGCCTCCAGCAGCCATATCCATCCTCCCCACCTGTTCTCAGAGCAGGCTCAGGCAGGCTCAGGCAGGGCAGGAGTGAAGGAGAGATGGGAGTCTGGTGCCCCAACTTCCTCCAGTAGGGAATCCTCACTGGGGCCCACTCAGAGCTTTGTCCTGAATAGACTTTTCTGTCCAAGAAAACCCTGCTGTGCCCTACCACCCTCAGCACAGGCAACCTGCTGCCCCTCCCATGGGGCAGGGGGCTGCATCCCACTCCACAAATCTGGGCTGCCTCAGGACCTGCTCAGACCAGTAGCACACAGCACCCACAATCCTGCCCAGTGAGCTCGGGGCCAGGGGGAGCGACAGCAGCCACCATGCCGTGAAGACACTCAAGACAGATTAGTGACCAGAGAAAGGCCATGAGAGGAAGCTGAAGGACAAGCGAAGTGGGAGTGACCTCGGCCCTGTCATGTGGAGCAGAACTACCACTCAGCCAAGCCCTGTCCACAGAGCCATGAGAAGCATCATGTGGAAGCAGCAAGGTTTGGGAAAGTCTGCCGCTCAGCCACTGGGCACAAATACACCAGGAAAACACTATTCCTCTCCAAAGTCAAGTGGGAGGGAAGGGACCATAATTTTCCTGCTCACAGATCAGCCCCAGTGTCTAGCACATGGCCCAGCACTCAGGAGGTACCTAAGAAGATGGGGCAGGTAAGGGAAACCTACTGCTCCTTCCACAGCTTGGTAGGTTGTTGTCAGACTGCTACCAGCCTTTCAGCTGTGATGGCCAGTGGTGGAAGCACCTGGCACGGTGGGACCACGACAGTGCCCAGGCCTGGCTCCACATGCCTACAGGGCAGAAACCCTCACCCCCCAAGGCAGGAAGCAGCTGCAGAGAGGCCTGGTGGGCTGTGGGCCCCAGGCCCCAGTGGGCACATGGCAGGCTTTAGGGCCCTGTTTTTCTGTGTCTGCTCACTGGGGACCTGCCAGTGGGATGAAGAGAAGTTCACAGAAGCCAGAGAGTGCAGCGTCGGCCCATACATACCTCCTCCTTGCCCCCAGTCTCCCTCTTGCTCTCTTCAATGGCCATTTGCAGCCTCAGGTCATCCCCACGACGGATCCGCTCTTCCTGTTGGGGGCAGCCAGAGGGAGGATCAGAACACCAAGCGGATAGCAGAGGCTGACACTCCCAACCTGGAAGGCCCCCAACAACCCCCTCCCAGCATGACAAAGGTGACTTAAAAATGGATGGGATATCTCAAAATGGGATGCAACGATGTATGGAATGGGATGGGACACCTGGGTTGAAGGCAGGTAGGACACAGGGGGGAGTGTGGTCTGGGGGATGAGTGGGGGTGTCACACAAAGGGACAGTAGGCTGGCCGGGCTGACGTGATGGCAACCCTGGCCCAGGTGAGCAGGGAGGCCCCTGCTTCACCCCAAGCACCTCAGGCTCTGTTTGTCCTGAGGTCCTTTGGCAGAAGACCCAAAGATCGGGACACATGAGCCTGTGTGCTGGGGCCCAGCAGGATGAGGAGAGCTTCTAGAAGGGGCAATGGGGCTGGTCTAAGGGGAGCCCTGGGCAGGGGCATGAGGCTGCTCTGACCTTATCGTGCTCCTCTCGGCTCAAACTAAGGGCCAGCTGGAGCTGGACGTCGTCCTCGGGGCCGCAGGATGGGGGCTGGGGGAGAGAGAGCATGAGCGGGGCAGGGGGAGCCAGAGGCAGAGCCACAGAGAGGCCGAGAGAGAACATAGTAGAGGGAAAGCCAGGGTTAGGCAGGGCCAAAGAAACGAAACCCTGAGGGACAGGCAGAGAGGGGCACGCAGAGGGGCTGGAGATGAGGATCCAGTCAAAGAGCCCATAGGGCGTAAGAGGAGGGGTGGGATGTGGCATGGAGATGGGATGGCAGAACAGTGAGCCTTGGCATCACATCAGTACCTGGTCAGCCTCCTCTTTGCTCATGGCCAGGGCCAACTGGAGCTGCAGCTCCTCCTCCCCACTGCTCTGTGGCCATGCCTGCTCTGCTTCAGGTGGGGGCCCAGAGCCCACAGCTGCTGACGAGGCTGGCACAGGAAGAAGCAGGTAGGATCAGACCCTGGGTGGACAAGGGCTTCCATTTCCAAACCCCCTTCTCAACCCCCTAACCTTGGAAGGACAAGACTGCAGATGAAACAGGGATCAGAGACTAGGTCCCCAGGAGAGCAGGGTATGTGGTGCAGGGGAAGGACAGCATATGTCCAGGCTGTGCAATCCGAGGCCCAGCCAGGGTAGAGGGGTGGGCTGACAAGAAGACCTTGGTTCAGGAGCAAGAGTGGGAGAAGGGAAGGATGGCATGTGGCGGTGAAGCTGACCCCACCAGGAGAGAGCCAGGACCTGCACAGCCAGCAACTTCTCAAAGGCCTCTCCTGGCCTCTATCCAAGTCCTCCTTGCTTAACTCCTCAAGGCCTGGGGGTCTCTGCCCCTCAACAGTGCAGAGGACTGAGCCACCAGGACCCAAAGCAGACCAGTATCTCCTACCCTGCCCTCCCTACCAGCAGGGACCCTCAGCAGGGAGACTTTCTACCTGTGTCCTGGGTCCCTGCATCCACCAGTCCCACTAGTGCAGGCTGCTCACTGAGGAGGCCCCAGCTTCTCCTTGGCTACAGTGGAGGCAGCTGTCCCCTGGCCTCACCTACACTTGGCCCAGGCAGCCCTGGGCTGGACTCAGCAAGGTGTCCTAAGCAGGAGCCAGGCTGGGGGCACAGACTTGGACCAGGGTAGCCAACAGGTGATGGACACAGATGAAAGATAGATGAGATCACAGACAAGGCTAACCCAGTGGGAGGACAATATCCCTGCTCTCCCAAGCCCTCAGGACTCCCAGGTGGGTACTGGGAGCCCCTGAAGCCCTGAGCTGCTTGGGCCTCACTGAGACTGAAGGCCCCATCTCATACTTGATAGGTAAGGAGAGGCACCATACAAGCAACACTCCAGGCTTCCCATCACCAGAGCACCCCACCTTAGCATGACTCCCCACAGGACCACCAGCTCTCCCCCATGTCAGGGCCCCACATTCTCAATACCTAGCCTCCTCTCCCGGCCTCAGCCCTCCAAGAAGCTCACTCTGGGACAGGAGCCAGACAACTGGCAAAGACACACAAGAACTAAAAAGCTTTACATTTTTTAATGGTTGGGAGTAAAATAAAATTGTCAGGATGAGTGAACCTAACTCAAAATTCAAACTTCAGCATCCATGAGAAGAGTCTGGGGGCAGAATAGTCCCTACTCGCAAGTGTATGGCCCAGCCACAAGAGCCAAGCACAGTCCAACACCCTCTGCTCTAGGATCTCTAAGTGCCAAAAACTCCCTCCTTGGTCCCCTAACCCTGTTTGCCCATCAAGCCACCTCGAGCCAGTGGCCTGCGTCCTGCCCCTACCATTCTGGTCTCCAGCCCTAGCCTCCTCCCCACCTGGCCCCCCTCCCTGCACTTTACACTCCCTAAGTGCTGCCTTACAGGCACACAGGTCGCAGCATTTGCCAGGTCCACCTGTCTCTGAATGGGTGCTGAACAACCCCAAACTCGACTCTTCCAGACAGAAGGCCTCATCGTCCCTGCCAGACTCCCTCCTGCCCATCTTCCCTGGCAGGTCCAGAATGACACAGCACCCTCCCCATCCTGACCACCTCCTGCTCACCAGGGCACCCCACCCACTGCCTAAACAAAGCAGAAGTCTGGACATTCTCCCACTTTTCCCTGCTCAGCTCCTGAGCAGCCCTCCTAGTTCCATGACTTGGAACCTCCGGCCAGCAGAGAGGGCATTTCCCAAAACACTCCAGGGCCCACAAACCCATCCACAAGACTGGAAACACTTTCTGAGACAGACCTTGGCCTGCAAAGTACTCTGCTTTTCTATTTACTCTTCCAATTGCTTGTAATTCTGGTCACCACCCACCATACAGAGTCTACCACCTATGAACATTTTAAAGGCTCTTTCCTATAATCCCAGCACTCTGGGTGGCTGAGGAATTCAAGTTTAAAGTGAAGTAGGATCACACCTCTGCACTCCAGCCTAAATGAGACCCTCTGTCTAATAAAAATGAAAAAATAAATGTTTTTCAAAGCCCAAAGGCACTCTGGTGGCCTGCAGGCTCTGGTGCCCAGCCTTCCTACTGTGCCTCATCCAGGCCACCATCCTCTGCCTGGAACAACCTCCTCAGCCATCTTAGTATGGACAGAGCAGCCCCCAAAGATGCCGCCCTATAGCCTCTCAGGAGGCCCCATCGCCTGCACTGACTCTCAGAGAGGCCCACACGCCCTGTCTGGCAGTTCCTCATGGGCCCTAAGGAGGTACTCAGCTAATTCTGTGGGTGAACAGATGAAATTTCCCAATTCTAGGGCCCTGGGGTCCAAGGCAGGAGACAGGAAAGGGCCTGACGAGCCCAGGGCCTAGGTAAGGAGAGGGAAGAGAGAAGGGAGACACAGGGTATAGCAGCTGGGATGGGGAGCCTTGGCAGCTATTGTGCCTCAGGAGAAAGGGGAGGGGCCTTACCCGTTGCTGTCTGTGCCAGTTTCTCCTTGGTCTTGAGCGCGTGCGCCCGCTCCTCCCGCAGCCGGTCCTCATCTCGGAGCAAAGCCACCAGCTGCTTGGCCTTCTCACGCACGTTCACACCCTGGTCCTTGCCATCCCGGTCCACATACTGGAAGTCCTTTAGCGTCTGCACAGCATACATGTTCTCTTTACACTGCTGCGACACTCGCTCTGAGCCAGTCTTGATGAGGTACTCCATGAGTGTCATGGCCTGCAGGCAGGGGACAGGGACACACTGTCACCACCAAAGCACCATGAAGATGAACTGAAGACTGCACTGTGGCCAAGGCCCTGGGGCAGCCACTGGGATTCAAGTCCCACAACACCCACGTCATCACAAGCAGGCATTATGTCTGCCCACATAGTGGGGCAGCCCAAGGCCATGAAAAGGACCGACCACGGAAGCCCTGTGCCACGGGAAGAAAAAGGCAGAAAGGCCACACACAGAGTATGACTCCACTGATGAGACATGCCAGACAGGCCAATCTGCACAGAGAGCCGGTCATGGGCCCACAGGGGCTAAGGGCAGGCGGGAACTTTGGAAGGACATTTAGTGTAGGAGTTTCTTTTTGGGAAGATGAAAAACTTTTGCAATTAAAGTGGGGGTGGTGGCTTGGCACCTGTAGCACACTGGTTACAGTGCCAGCCACATACACCAAAGCTGGTGGGTTCGAACCCGGCCAGGCCAGCTAAACAACAATGACAGTTCCAACAAAAAAATAGCCAGGCATTTGGCAGGCACCTATAGTCCCAGCTACTTGGGAAGCTGACACAAGAGAATTACTTAAGCCCAATAGTTTGAGGTTGCTGTGAGCTGTGACGTCAGAGCACTCTACCAAGGGTGACATAATGAGACCCTGTCTCAAAAAAAAAAAAAAAATTGAAAACATAAATAAATAAAATATAGATGTGATGGCCACACAAGACTGTGAACATACCAAATGCCACTGAACCATCCACTGTAGAAGGTGAGGTGAACTGTGTATGAGCTAGAACACAGCCACAATTAAACAAAGGAAGTGGCAGCTGCCATTGGATGGGCGTCACTGCAGAGCCCACTCTACTTTCTTTCCTTTTTTAAGAGACAGGATCTCTAGCCAGGTGTTGTGTGGTAGGTGCCTGTAGTCCCAGCTACTTGGGAGGCTGAGGCAAGAGAATCACTTAAGCCAGTGGTTCTCAACCTTCCTAAATGCTGCCGCCCTTTAATACAGTTCCTATGGGTCGCAACCCACGGGTTGAGAACTGCTGACTTGGAAGCCCAAGAGTCTGAGGTTGCTGTGAGCTGTGTCACCATGGCACTCTACCAAGGGCGACATAATGAAACTTTGTCTCAAAAAAAAAAAAAAGAAAGAAAGAAAGACAAGGTCTCGTTCTGTCTAGAATGCAGGGACATTACCACAGCTCACTGCAGCCCTGTACTCTGGGCTCAGGGAATCTTCCCACCTCAGCCTCCCAAAGGGCTAAAACTATAGGTGTGAGCCACCGAGCCTGGCCTATTTCTTTAAGAAGAAACTCTAACAAGGCACAAAACAAAACAAAAAAAAACATCTACTAAATCACACTGAAGGATAACTTAGAAGGCTTTCTGTATTGCTCTGTAAGTTTGAAATGAGTCATCCCTTTCAAAGGTTAAAACTCATAGCCTTGTAGATAACCAAAAGGAGCTCATCACCTTTCATACAAGGGACTATTCATACCTTTCATAGGCCCAAGGTACACACAAAATAGAATGCCAGGAATAAGAAGGGTGCAGGCAACATTATTGTTCAACCTGTACCCTTTGATATCTTTGCATTTTATAACATGAGATCAAACTGAAATGAAATGAGGGATAAAAACACATCCCTTCCTTGGCTGAAGCCTTGCTCTGATGAGCATGTCCAGGGGTCACAGCCTCTTAAAGGCTCTGCTGAAGCACTGGCTGCCATCCTCAGAAAAAAACACCTTAGACCGTACAGGTGACTGCAGGGGTTTCACGAACCTCCACCCACACAGGGCTCTCAGGTCTAAAGCAGAGAAGAAAAAAGGAAGGACGAGTCAGCTACTGCAGCTAAGCTCTGTCTAAACCAATGGTTCTCAACCTGTGGGAACTATATTAAAAGGTCGTGGCTTTAGGAAGGTTGAGAACCAAGACTCTAAACCAAGAAGAAATCTGCCAATAAAAATGCCAGGGCCACTCATTATTGCAAACCCATATCTGGCAAGGCAGTTTGAAGGCATGTTATAGTATTTACATCTGTAATTGGAGAACAGACTTTAACTGCCCCTCAAGGTGTTTACACATCAGAGAAAGGAAAGAAGGTAAGTTCCCTGTACTATCACACTGACTCCAAGAGGCAGTCCTGGGTCCAGAACTCCTGGAGCCCTTGTGTTTTAGAATTAGAATTTTCCCAAGTTCAGACCAGTAAGATGAGGCACAAACCACACACACACATAAGAGAACACTCCCAACACAGAATTACGGCCAACAGACCAAAAGGCCACATGTACATGACAGTGTGTCAGGCTTTGCAGCAAATGGATTACAAACAACTTTCATTTTCAGAGTTCTTTGGACTTGTGGAATTACAGTTGTAAAGATTATGAACCAGAAAATAGTGCAACTGCCCACAGCAGTAAATTCACACAGTGGGACCACAAACACACACACACAGAGCAATAAAAAAATACAGCAGTGACTGGAGTGCACAGCAACACAGGTCAACCTCCCAAGCAGGACTGCAAGCAAAGAAAGCAAGGCACAAAAGACCGTATACAAGCCTCAGCATATATATAGTTCAAGAACTGCCTCAGCAAACTCAAATGCGACAGGTGCCTATGGGGAGGGGTGTTGTGAGGGAGCCTCCGGCAAAGCTGAACACACCCTCAATTCCCACTAGGCCAAGGCTACAGAGGTGTACACATACATTAAAGCTAACTGGGTTAACATTAATGATCTGCTTAGATGCTACTCCTCACAGATAAATTTATAACTTATTTTAAAAGTAGGCAACTGGACAGATACAGTGGCTCACACCTATAATCCTAGTACTCTGGGAGGCCAAGGGCAGTGGATTGCCTGAGCTCACAGGTTCAAGACCAGCTTGAGCAAGAGGCGAGACCCTGGTCTCTATATATAGCTGGGCACTGCGGCAGGGACCTGTAGTCCCAGCTACTTGGGAGGCTCAGGCAAGAGAACCACTTGAGCCCAAGAGTTTGATATTGCTGTGAGCTATGAAGCCACAGCACTCTACAGAGGGTGACAAAGTAAGACTGTCTCAAAAATAAATAAATTAATTAATTAATAAAACTGGGCAACTAGGCTGGGCATAGTGGCTCATGCCTGTAATCTTAGCAATTTGGGGGGCCAAAGCAGGAGGATAACTTAAGGCCAACCATAGTAAGACCTCATCTCTACCAAAAATAAATAAATAAACTAGCCAGACGTGGTGGCAGGCATGTGCAATCCCCACTACTCAGGAGACTGAGGCAAGAGGGTTGCTTGAGCCCAGAGTTCAACATTGCAGTAAGCTGTGACAGTGCCACTGCACTCTAGTCAGGCTAACAGAGCAGAAGACTTTGTCGCAAAAAAAAGAAGTAGGTGACTGGATAACCCAATATCTTTTTTTTTTTGAGACAGAGCCTCAAACTGTCACCCTGGGTAGAGTGCCATGGCATCACAGCTCACAAGAACCTCCAACTCCTGGGCTCAAGCAAGTCTCCTGGCTCAGCCTCCCAAGCAGCTGGGACCACAGGCACCCTCCACAATGCCTGGCTATTTTTTGGTTGCAGCCTTCATTGTTGTTTGGTGGGTCCGGGCTGGATTCAAACCCACCACCTTAGGTGTATGTGGCTGGCGCCTTAGCCACTTGAGCCACAGGCGCTGAGCCAATAGTCTTTATTTTTAAAACAACTTTGTCGAGGGTGTTTAAAACAGGTTCAATGAACTTTTTCTGTAAAGGACCCAGTATTTCAGGTTTTCAAGCCATATACTCTATCTCCACTACTAGGAAGCCCTGATGAATGGGCCTGGCTGTGTTCCAGTAAAACTTTATTTACAAAACAGGTGGGAGTTGGCCAGTGGGCTGCAGGTTGCTGATCCCTGGTTTAAGACAAAGACCAAAAGACCCTGCATCTTCAGACAAGGTGACAGTGCAGGGGTGGAGGGTAGGTTCTGGGCTCTGCTCCAGCTTTAATACATGCTGGGTGGCCCTAAACTTCTTTGGGCTTCAGTTTCCTCACCTGGCAAAGGGAGCTGAAGCAGGAACAGTACTTCTTTCACTGGGTGATTATGAGGATGTGCACAGGGCCACACTGACAGGCCCTGAACCAATACACCCTCACCCCCAGACTTGAGCTAGAGCCCTGCAGGGAGGACATGCAAAAGCCAGGCCTGCCGAGGGCCATGCTCAGACTTTCTTCACAGGGGGGATGATAAGATCCACAAAATCCAAGCCAGGCAAGGGCACAGGGTGGGAGACCTGAAGCTCTGGAGAGAACTCCAGCTTCCCCACAATCCACAATTTTAAGCAGATAGACCATCCACCAAGAAGGAAAGATTGTTCCTAACTATCTCACCACCTGGGGCTGAGGTGATGAGACCCTCCACCTCCTAAGTGTCTGTCCTATGCCTTGCTCAGCTACCCACATGCAGCCATGGTGGCAAGAGGATGGCAAGAGGGCAGCGCCTGTGGCTCAAAGGAGTAGGGCGCCAGCCCCATATACCAGAAGTGGCAGGTTCAAACCCGGCCCCAGCCAAAAAAAAAGGATGGCAGGAAACAAGAGGACCTGCTCTCCTGCCAAGACAGGTCAGCAAGCATACAGGACTCTGGAGGCTAGGGGATGCTGCAGACCCACAGTGGCTCAGGGACGCTGGCCTGGGGG